TAGCTCTTCCAAATAAGGTCATCAAGCTGGGACCTGATTGAGAGGCTAAACTCCACCTCTTCACTCTTAATAGTCTCAAATTGATACCAGATTATGTAACTACCACAGCCCTGATCTCCATGAGATCCAAATCACAGACCCAACCACTGCCTCTGTCTGTGTAGCCTCAGTCAGTTCAAAGATGCCCCAGGGCAGCATGTCCCAAAGTAAACTCTGCTCCACTGCCCGCAAAAGCACGCCCTGCTCCTGGGTCCCCGTCACAGCGGCCCCGCCCGCAGCTCCCTCTCCAGCCTCACCTGTCTGAGAGCATGTGGAGCCTGGATCCTCCTCGCCTTCATTTCTCCCAGGGACCATGTGAGATGCCAGCCTGCCTCCCTCCCTGCCCTCAGGGCCCTGTCAGCTAGAATCAGAGCTTCCACCAAACCCTGCGTGCCCCTGCCCCTCCATTTAGGTTCTAGGAACACTTCTTTGCTTGCTCCCACACCCAAACACTCAGTGCCATCCTGCACCCTTATGCCCTTCCTCATGCCCTGACTGCTAGGAACACAGTCACACCTTTCTACAGCGTCACCATCTGTTTGCCTTGTACCCCATCCCCACCCCGGCTCCTCCACCAGCACCTCCAGGAAACTTCCCAGACTGGCCCAGGTGCCCACTCTACTTAGTAGGGGCTTAGCTTCTTGCATCCCCTGGGGGACATGAGTGTAACTGCAGAGGTCTCCCCGGATCATCGGTATTTCTCACCCTCCATGAGCTGCTTCTGCGAACACGGTTCCAAAGCCCTTCCCGCACAGTGGTCACATGCCTGCACCCCTCTGGAGTCTCAACACGCCTATCCACCCAGATGAGCTCCACACCCAGCTGCTGAGCCAGCAGGAGGAAGACCCGCTTCCTCTGTGGCATGCATGGATAGGGATACAGGTAGGCCCCCACCTCCACACCCCGTCTCCTTTGTTCCCTCTCGGTGCTAGGCACTCCTTCCTGTTTAGTGAGTACCTGTGGGCAGTCTCAAGAGAGACCTGTCTCTGGAGAAGGATGTCAGGTTTGGTAAAGCATAGGTTAATGAGAAAGAGGAGGAGCCTCAGTGATTGACAATGGGCTCCATCGTGAGGATGGGGCAGGGCCAGGCAGTGTCTTGTCTTGGGGTTGCTACCAGTCTATGGCACAATGGCCCAAGGGCCCTGATGGCACAATACTAAAACACCCAGCTGTTAACCAGAAGGCCTGGGGTTCAAACCCACCAGCAGCTCTGTGGGAGAGCAGCGAGGCAGTCGCCTCTGTAAAGATTTAAGATCTCAGAAACCCTATGGGGCAGTTCTACTCTGTCCTATAGGGTCCCTGTAAGTCATAATCAACTCCGTGGCAGTGGTGTGTGGTATGTCTAAGGTCCGTGGGTGACACGAAAAGTTAACACCCTCAATTGCTAATTAATACGTCCGAGGGTCAGCCCCACCCAGACCAACTAGCTTCAGATGGAATTCAGGGTGCAGGTTGGACGTTAGGAACCAGGCAGACACATGCAGACAGCCAAAATGGCCAGCGCTCTATGCCTCCACCTCGCAGGCCCCAGGTGTGGGCTGACCCCAGAACCGCCTCCGGTGAGGTGGTTCCCTGCAAGAGCAGAGAGCGGGCGAGCACCTACCAACCACCCTTCCCGCAGCTGCCCAGAGAGCTCGCCCATCGGCATGACCACCACGCTGAGCTAGGTGTTAGGGGTCCCCCCATGGGCTGTAGAATAACAGCCCTCAATTCCTGGAGGGACAGCGTCCTGTTCGCAGTAAAGTCCTGTTTGTGCCTCTGAGCCAAGTGGCCTTCCTGGGAAGGGACTGTAGCCACCTGCAGGCGGTGCCGTCCCAGAGTTTCACTCCGCGGAGAAACCCTCATTGGTGGGATGCCCCAGAGTGTGGGCTTGGAGTTTTTGCGGTGGTTGCTTGTTTGTTTTGTGAGACTTGTCATTGAAGGTCTACAATTTGGAAACTCCATCTGCCATAATTCTCTCTCTCACTGCCACTGAGTCAGTGGCAACTCAGAGTGACCCTCGAGGACAGGGTAGAACTGCCCCGGTAGGTTTCTGAGACTAACTCTTCATGGGAGTAAAAAACGTCTTCCTTGGAGATGTCTGGTGGTTTCAAACTGCTGACCTTGTGGTTAGCAGCCCAACATGTA